GGTCCCTGGGCAGCCTTGCTCAGCCGGGGTTCGGCAGCGCAGTCGAACGTCTGCCTGCGGTCCCCTCGCTCCTCCGAGACCTTTGGCGTGCTGTCCTCCTTCTGGGGGTTGGGGTGGTTTTTCCTCGTGTTCTCCCTGCTCCTGCATCAGGGAATTTCCCGGCGCAGCCGTACGCTGACCCGTGGTCAGTGGCACGGCCCAGGAGCAAACCTTCAGTGCCAGGAAGTTTTTATCGCTGCCCTTTTAGAAATGGAATTTATCGAAAAGAGGAAGAGTGGGTGGCTCAGCTTCTGCTTCCTTGCTTAATAAATCATTAAAGAAAACAAAAAAAAAGGCCAAGTTTCACTTCTGGTGGAAATGTGGAAAAGCAGCGAGATAATGTGGCAATCTCCTAAAGCTGATGTGCGCAGTGAAAATTGGGCCAGATCGGACGTGATGTAGTTACCAGTAAAGAGAAAAGAAACCAGTGACGGGAAGCAAAGTGGGCTGTGCTGGAGAAGGTCACGGTGGCTGCTGAACATACGCAGTAGCTGGAATTTGAGCTGATGTTTTTGAAGCTCTAGGTGTATTTTAAGTAAAGGCGTGTTCAGAGCCTGTTATAAATGAAACCTTCACTCCTGTCCCGTTGACTGTCACGAGTTTGCACGTAGTCGGATGTTTATTTTGGTTTGTCAGTGAAGCTCCGCAGCGGTTTCAATGAAATCGTTCGCCAACTTCCAGTTCTTCTAGGACACGCAGCGCTCCCTCAAAGTGGAAGATGCTTTGTATTTTAAGTGACTTCAGTTGTCGCACAGGCTTAATTAAAAGGGAGGTTTCTTTCAGCAGGTCTTTGTTTGTGTGCGTGTTCTTCGTGTTCCTGGACATCTGCGGTGCATCTCGGGGTGTTAACTCCTCCGGCGGCGGCATGGGGCAGGAGAGGATCGTTCGTGATCCTGCTCACCTCCGGCGAGCTACCGCGAGCGCTAAAGCCTGGCTCTGGCGAGCGCGTCTATGTTCTCCCGTGGCTTGTGCAGCACAGCTGTGCTCGCGACAGCGCCAGAGGAGGACGGGGCTAGCTGCAGCGCTCAGCAGAGCTAGTGAGAGTGTATCTATTGGCACGGTTTTGTTTCTAACCTGAATTTGTTACATAAAATGCATGACTGACTTGGGATTCCTGTGGCCTGCGTTCGCAAGGAAACTTGCACAACCAGGTCGCATTTCAACTTTCTGTTTCATGGTGCGAGCGTACCTGGGCGCTCCAAAAGTTTGCTGCTGCTTGCGCAGGGAGGTGCTGCTGCTCTCCAGGTGCTGAGAGCCGTGTGGCATTAACCTCTAGATTCTCCTTGAAGAACCCATCCCACTGGATGTGATGGTGACAGCGATGTCCTGCTGTGCCTCCCTGGACTTTCAAGTCGTGCAGCCTCGTGTCCTTGATCTTCGTGCCCACGCTTGGGAACCCAACACCCATTGCCAAGAGACCCTGCTGTTGGGGTTTTGCCCCGTACGGGGGTCTCGGCGAAGAGCACTCGCGCAGCGCAGCGAGGGCAGCACGCAGTTACGGTCTCCACCGTGAAGCGCCTTTTCCCTTTGACTTGCGGGCGAGGCACAAGCCCGCAGCCTACCAGGCGAAACGCTTGCCTGGGCGATGAGACTTCTGCCTTTCTTTGCCCAACGTTTGCAGCCAACCTCTGCCGCCCAAGAGCTTGCCGGGCTGTGCTGCGAGATAGGTGGCGTGAGGACACCTCCACCCTTTCCCTTGAAACTTTCTTGCTGCGTTCGAGAGCAGATGGCGAGGGAAAGGCTGTAATTAGTGCGGAGAGAAAAGCTTCCTTCAGGTACGCAGGGGAGCTTTAAGCTCAGTGTTGTGGGGTGCTGGGAAGGACTGTGGGTACGGTATTGAGAAAGGGGCTCAGGCCTGATGACGGCTTCTGCGGGACGTTCCTCCGCGCCTCGTGCCTCGGACCGGCCTTGAGCAAGAGGGGCCGTGGTGGCACCTCCAGCAGCAGCGTGCGCCCTGGTAACCAGCATGCTCTTCCCTCTGCCACATGTGGGGTTGAGTTCCTCCAGGCTGGGGAGGGAGCTAAACCCAGCTTTCACAGGTCTGGGTGGCTGCTCCTAGCACTGGGCTGCTCTGTAGAGATAATGCTCTTTTTCTTGCAGCTGTCTTGCTGGGGAAAAAAAAAAAAAAATTAATAAAAAAACCCCCTCTCTGGTGTTTCAGCCTAGAGTGGGGTGTTGGGCAACATCTGCTGATTATCTCGGAGCTTCAGAGATGGGATTTTTGGAGACATCCCTTTCTCAGCTGCTTGTGAATGCAACTATTTTTGCACTGTGAATTGTCGCCCGTAGCAGAGCGTGGTGCAAGCAGCAACGTGTCCTTGCGTAGATGAGGAAGCGGAAGGGGGGGGATGCACTTTCCTGGTCTGCCTGCTGCGAATTGTGCCTGGCCGTGGCTTTCCCCACCCGTCAGGGGCAGAAGGCTGCAGCTTGGCTGTGTCGGATTCATTAGATAAAAGGGCTCTTTCCTTTTGCTCCCGTCTGCTGTCGTTCAGAGAAACACGCTCTTCACATTGCCCGCTTTAAATTGCGTCTGTCTAGTGCAGGTACAAAAGAGCATGCTAAAATCCACTTTATAAAAAGATCAGGGATAATGAGATTCATCTCCCATCGGTTAGAAATTCCTTGAAACAATTAAAGCTCAGCCTGTCAAGTCATAAGCATCAAAGGCTTTTGACGAATGTAAACCTTAAATCTTTTGACAAACGCAAACCTTAAATGAAACCAACGTTGCTTTCAGCATTAGAAAACACTGCGTTTCGGCGACAAAACCTCCTAACAACAAAGTACCAAGAGCGGCGTAGCACCCGCCAAAAACACAAAACGGCTGCAAAAGCGCTGAGTTTTTTTTACGAGAACAGGTTAAATCTCCGGGGTGTCGGGGGGCTGTGTCCCCCGAGGGGGACCCCAAAGCCCCGGTGTGCCGGAGGCTGGTGAGCAGGCGCGGGGCCAGAGCTTCCTTAAGAGGCGGCGGTGTGGGGTGACGAGCCGCTTCCAATTGCGAGGCAGGCACCACATGACATAAGATGCTCCAGAGCTGCCTCCTGGGCGCTAGTTTAAAAATAAAGCATATTACACGTCGTCCTTCTTGGCGCTGGTCCGGAGCGGCTGCGGGAGCAGAGGCTGCACAAAGGCGGAGGCGATGCGTTGTGAGGCTGGGCCCGGAGCGCTGCAGTTTGGGAGCTGGGGGGGGCTGAGAGCCGAGCAGGGATGTCGGGCCGAGGGAGTGTAAAATTTAAATTGTGAGGCTCGTGGTGCTTTATCAAAGCTGTAACTGTCACGCTCGTTTTTGGATGTGGGCACGGGTGTATCATCTACTGCTGATAAGGTTTTTCGGATGAAGCGAGCCCGATGCGGGGTGCGCTGTGTCTGCTGTTAGAATTTACCGTATTTCATGCAAATACAGCAGTCTCGAGCCGTGCCTGCTTTGGGATTGCCTCGGTCGGATCGCTACGTCAGTGGAAGCTGATTTTACTATAGCGTTTGATTGTATTTTAATTTTCAAAACTTGTTTTTACAGGGGCAATGCTGTGTGAGTCAGATGCACGTATGGCACTTGCCGAACCAGTCCCCACGGCTTATTTTAATTCGGATCCTCAGGGGAGCTGTGAGGTGTCACTGGATGATGTGCTGCTCAACTCTTCAACTAGGTTTGTGTAACTTAACATTTTATTTTCTCTGTGGTGACCTGTATACATAGCATATAGTTTGTATTCTACCAGCTTTACTTAGATTAATTAAGATTTTTTTGGAAGGAATTTCAAACATTTGTTACAACTTCCAAAATCCGAAAGCTGAATCTACAATCTCGCCCTCTCAAAAGAAAAGGAACAGAATTAAATTTGCTGTACATAGCTACCACACAGAGTACAGAGCTTGAAGTAGTGTTATTTAATATAAACTTAAAGCGCAGGAACGGTAGCATATTCTGCGTAGTCAGAAAGGTCGCCTCTTATAAAGCAACTTTGTGTAATTGTTAATTTTATGTAATTGGGCGGTCACCGATCAAATACTAACAATGTGGAGCAAGTCCTACGTTGTTAGTGAAGTGTTGCTGTGCTGTAAACAGAGGCGTGCCTCTGCAGGGGACAGTCTGTGTGCAGCACTTAACTGATTTTTAGCCAACTCCTGTTAGCCTGTCTGTAAATCGAAGCAGCCTCTTACTAAAGAGCAGATTAGTAATTAAGGAAAACTCTTTACCTAAATTTTTTCAAGCTGCATTGGAATTACATGTAGTAAGGGGAAGGAAAAGATGACTTGATTCACTGTAAGGGAAATAGTAGGGGCTTTTTCGGTCACGTTACCGGGTCATTTGCATGCTTTGATCATAAAAGCTGGTGGTGGAAATGGTGCAGAACTATTGCAACGGAGGATTAATTTGTGCTGAAAAACGTTCTCAATAATGAGGAGGAAATGCGTAGTAGGGAACATCTTGTAATCCCTTTGGGGGGAATAAAAAAGAAAAAAAAAATATTTACTTCCCTCTGGTTCCTGGCTTGCAGGTTAGTTAGGAGAAGCAGTTCTGCTTTTGGACAGTACGTGGGTGTAGCCATGTCAGATCTTCTCTATGCCTTAAACCTTACCATGTGCCCAAAGCAATAACAGTTGACTACCGCCTAAAAATTCAGAGAGAACATAAAACAGAGGGAAATTTTACACTGAAATTCACACAGCGCCTTGTGCTGACTTGTCTTCTCTTTGGTCGAGTAGAAAGGGAAGAAAATGTGGGGCTCGGTGGGAGCCCTGCCTGGATTAGGCTGAGGAGTCTGCGTGGGGCCGGAGCCGCTGCCGCCTGTGCGCAGGTGTGGTCCGATTGTGACAGGCGGGGACGTCAGGGCTTCTGCGCGCCCAGAGCTGCGCCTGCGGAGGGCCGGGCCCTTGTGATGTCAGGGCCCTGCAGCCCTTCTGCCAGACCCAGGAGGCGGTGCTGGGGAGAAACCTCGCACCAAGCATTGCCATGGGGCAACACCTAGCCCTGGCATGAAGAAACAAACCCCTTGGTGGTGGGCTGGAGCGACGGGCCCCGGGGGGCTGTTTGGCAAGGCAAGACGGGAATTTTGGTTCTCTGGAACATAATCTTGGGTCGACTAAAACTTGGCCCTTAGTGCTGTGCTGATGGTAGAGGCAGGGTATGGCCCGGGGTAGGCTGGGGGGTGGGATGTCCTGGGGAGCAGAGCTCAGGGACTCGGACGCTGAATCTCCCGGGGTCTGGTTTCCAGCCTGTGGTCTGAAGTGGGACACGCGACTTGGTTATTCCTTATCCTCATCGCTTACGGCTGTGAGAAAGTCCGTCTTGGAAGGGGATGGAGGAAGAACGCTGTTCTACAAACGTGGGCAGGTGGCGTCTCACCAGATCTTGCAGGGATGATTTTTACTTTTATTAAAAAATAATCCAGCCACCAAGCCAGGAAACATGAAATTATTACTCTACCCTTAAGTGGTTTAGTGGTGGACTTGGTAGTGTTAGGTTAACGGTTGGACTGGATGGTGTTAAAGGTCTTTTCCAACCTAAATAATTCTGTGATGAAAGTAAAAGGGGCAGCTTTCAGCTGGCACCGCAGGACAAGGTCCCGGTGAGGAGCGTGGCTCAAGTAGACGGGGGACGTGCCTGTTTCCATTTCTTCACAAACATCTGGTGGGAGCCGGATGCACTAACTTTATCAGGAATAGCTAAGAACAAGATTTCCTGTTAAATCCATTTCCAGCTCTTCAGCTGGCCTGGCCTTCTGCAGGAGATCTCCGCGGGTTTCCCCACGGGGTGACTCGCGGGGGGATTGCTGTGCTGCGTAGCCGTGAGGCCGCTGGGGCCTCCCCTTCGTTAGACCCCTGTATTGCAGGCAGGAGCTAAGCACCAGATTAAAATTAAAAAATGAATAAACGCACCTGCAGAACATCAGGAACCTCTAATCCTTGTTTGACATCCAAGGACTAATGTAATTGAGCGATGGAGCAAGCACGCCGAAGGCGTTGCTCAGCCAGTGTGCTGAAGCCTATCCCGGGCTAATTGCTTTTGCCTTGCAGAACTGTTGAGGTCCGCAACGTTGAGACAGCTGAAGATAAGACAGAGGGATGTCAGATAGACATGCTGGGCTTCAAAGGTAAGTGGAAAGAATTTTTAGTTACTGTGGTGTGCATAAAATTATTATTGAAATGAGAGAGGAATTTATCAAACCGTAACAATGGAAGAAGAAACTCAAATTGCAGGATGGTCTGCCCTGAAGCCTCTTGAACTTGAACTTTAAAGGACGGATATGCTTCAAGGAGTAAAGTAGGTAGTGTCACTGCCTAATGTTTATCTACCAGGTAATAATGTACTACTTCCAGTCCTCCTTAAAAAAAAAAAAAAAAAAAGCACGGTCTATATGACTGTTGCAGGAAGCTGCCACCTTGGCAGTAACAGAGCTTTAGGGCAGCAAAGCAGGTTAGGGGGGGTGTAAATGGGAAACGTTTAGGAAAATTTTGAAAGCACTTTAGAGGCTTCGTCTGTTAGTCTTGGCCTAAAATACCGGGAGTCGTATGGCAAACTTGCCAAGAATAAAAGGTCAAAAAAGGGGGGTGGGAAGGGGATATATGAGCATTTGCTTTCATGTGTCTGATACTTGTATTTATATTTCTGTTACGGCAGCAAGCCATTTCTAAATATAAGATGCTGAACACTTTTCTTTCAAACCAGCCCCTTCACCTCCTACCTCCAGCATGTGGACAACACGACGAGATGGAGAGGTCAGACTGAGGATGGATGAACAGGGCATAGGCAGTGAGGCACCAAAGACCGTTCATGAGCTATTCCGGGAAGCTGCTAGTAAATACGGTGATTACTATGCCCTCGCATCCAAGAAGGGTGGCCAGTGGATAAAACTAACATATAAGATGTACTATGATGAGTGCTGGAAAGCAGCAAAAAGCTTTCTGAAGGTAAGCTTTTGATGAATTCTGCTCCTCCTTCACGTTCAGTCAATTTAACTGCTGAAATGGCTGTGGTCAGCTATATCTTAAACCTGCACGTTCTCTGAGGGAGGCTTAAAGTGACAGGGAGATACCTGAGCATGCAGTGAACAGCTCGGTAATTACTGCAGCATTTTTGTTTGAATTTCTTGCAAGTTGCTTCCACATTCAACTAACAAAAAGTGCGTAAGGAAACATTTAAAGAGAGGTGTTTGAGGTGTATGTCAAACCTGGACGACACCCTTTATGAGGCATGTCAATTTTAATCTCTCTTAAGAAAAAACTTGAAAGGATGCGTATGAATCAGACTTAAATGTCCAAACTGGCTGAGCCTTTTGCCTGTGCTGTTGGGACTTAAGACACTCGGAGAGAGAAACCAACACTACATGTACTTACTGTTATCATCATAAAGTCGTATTTCTTGAAGTTAAGGCCACTCTGTTTTTACTCCTATGGTGGGATCTTCCAGTCTACATAGTTCCACTCTGGGACAAAACCAGTGAATGGCTGAAGGAGATTTAAAGACTGGGACTTCAACACCTGGAATTTCATAGCAAAATGCCTCTGACTGTCATTGGAGCTTGGTGCTCTTGTCATTATTGATATCTAACATATCTAACCTGTACTAAGTGACTAAATGTCTCAGTAGGTGTTGTCTAACTTAACCTCTTGCCTTCTCATTCCCAGCCCAAAGGGAACCGATAACTATCTCTATCTATCTCGGTTTTATAATACTTTTAGCGTCAGTGAGCTGGTTGTACCGAGCGCAGACCTAAGTGAATCCTTTTTTTTCCTGCCTACTGATAAAGCGGGACAGTGTCTGATGTGAAACTTAACTGGTTCCGTATTAGCTCTTGGGAAGCTTTTCAATGTGAATTACCGTGTATAATAGCATGAACTTTTCCCTTGACATTGTGCTTGCAGCAGAGATCTGTAAATTAACTCTAAGCATTCTTCAGAGGAAAACCAAGATTGCTGTAGTCTCATCTCTTGTTTACAGCTGGGACTGGAGCGTTTTCATGGAGTGTGCATCTTGGGATTTAATTCTGCAGAGTGGTTTATTGCTGACATCGGAGCTATCCTTGCAGGGTAAGAATGAGTGTTGTCTCTTGACATGCATTTTGCTTTAGCATTCAGATAGTAATTTCAGTATTCATGTGAGAAGCAGTTTCTGATTAAAAAAACACAACAAAACCAACTGCTTATATTGGGATTTAATGAAGATAGTTAGAACCTAACCTCTCTCGTTACTTCATTATGAATTAATGAGACAAAAATTAGTTGGGTTTTTGTGGTGTTTGGTTTTTTTTTTAGACAGGTACATCTTTCAAAATAAGATGAACAGTAGGTTAATCCAAAAGCATGCTTACTTACACTGTCATTAATAATATGATGGGAAATGCCAGAGAATCACAGCACTGGATTTTGATAGCCGCCTTCCTCCTGAGACATTTTGGTCCCTTGCACCATTCTGACGTTTCCCATGCCCCAGAACAGAGCCTTTGCTCTTGGAATTAAGCCTTCCACTTTTTGTTGTTGTTTTATCAGATATTCTTCTTAAAGTTTTTCCTCTGTTAAAGTTTGAAATGGTCTGAATTTTGCCAACAACTGTGCTTATCTTCTAATTGTGTATTTTGCTTTTCTGTTTTGTTTTTTTCCTTTTCTTTTGTAGTGGATTTGCTGTTGGTATCTACACTACAAACTCTCCTGAGGCCTGTCATTATGTAGCAGACAACTGCAGTGCTAATGTTCTGGTTGTGGAAAACCATAAACAGCTGCAGAAAATCTTAGAAGTAAATATACTTTTTAAATGGCTGGGGGCTACAGCATCCTATTGACAGATGTGGGAGGGTAATACCTGAGGGAAACGCTGGCGCTGAACGCAGAGGCCAACAGATCGAGCCTACTTGCTGCGCTCCCTGCTCAAGCCAGATGAGTAGTCACTAGTGCTAAATCTCACGAGAGGTGAAATGGTGGTTCCACAGCTTAGCGAAGCCTCGAGCTTAAAATATGAGAAAACAAAATGAACAATTGAGCATCCCCTAGGTTGTCTGGCAACACCCCGGTCCAAATGATCACTGTCTCTTGTGAGGCTTCTCTCTTCTCTTTCAATAACACAGATGAGATTCTCTTAGCTTTACTTAAAACGGCAAGTCGCAGCAGCATGTTAAGTGGTGGGTTACTTAGGCTTAAAAGGGACAGGCAGGATTTGCTCCTTCTCACCAATCTCCCTTCCTAACACAGATTCAGCATCAACTACCTCATCTGAAAGCTATTATCCAGTATGGGGAAGAGCTAAAAGAGAAGAGACCAAATCTGTACTCTGTAAGTACTGGGCATCGTAATGGCTTGTAAATACCGGCTGTGTTTCGCTGGTGGCTTGCCAGCAACCATCACCTTCCACGGGACTGTCATCATGTGAGCTGATGTTGGTTTCAGTGGGGGATTGCTTGCCTTGCTGAAGCAGTAGATGCCTACTGTTGTTCAAACCTCGATAATCCACGTTGTAAGGGAGGGTGTTAGCGTGCTGATCTCTGCAAGGCAGCCTCGGGTCCCACACTTGCTCCTGCTCAGCACTCCCAGTGAATGCCAGGGTTGCTACAGAGCTGGTAAGCTGCCTCAGGGTGGATCCGTCTCCTTTTCTGCTTCTCGCCATGCCTCTTGTGGCAGGCAGAGAACATCGTGGGGCTGACAGCGCATATTTACAACCTTTTCAGATTCTGCCAGAGCTTTGGACATAGGGAACAGTTTCCTTCTCTTCATGTGTAGCAAAGGGTTTAGTTTCACATGTGAATGATAGCCTACAAAGTGATTGAGCTCTTCTCTTACATACACAGTGGAGTGAGTTCATGGACCTTGGCAAAGATGTTCCAGATACTCAGCTCCGTGAAATCATTGAGTCGCAGAAGCCTAACCAGTGCTGTACATTAATATATACCTCAGGGACAACCGGACAGCCAAAGGGAGTAATGCTCAGTCATGACAACGTAAGTATCTCTTTGTTCAAATGCCCATTCTGTGACCTTAGGTGGGTGCTGAGGGAGGGTAGAGATCAGCTGAAAAACATGCCCCACGATCACAGGAAGTCATAGACTTGTTTTGTGAGCTGCGTGTTCTGTGTTGGGCCTGCTCGGAAATACTGACGTGGGTTCTTGTTACAGTTGACGTGGACGGCATCGGCGGCAGGGCGCTTCATAATGCTGTCAGATGCTAAAGAAAAGCAGGAACTGGTGGTCAGCTATCTGCCCCTCAGTCATATTGCTGCACAGATGTCGGATATTTGGTCGGCGATGACGTTCGGTGTACAAGTTTTCTTTGCTCAACCAGATGCATTAAAGGTAAAAACGTAAGAAAATAAAAATCCTACACCCATCCACCTGCTTGTAGCTGGGGTGGGTGCTTTAAAATGAATGTGGCTGACAGGATTCTGAAAGCTGTGCTAGCTCGGTTTATTTGTGTAGCGTTTAAGGAGCAACTGTTCCTGTTTAAGGGTCTGTTGGTTTGACAAATATAGCTGCTCTGACCTTTGCCTTCGACTATTGCAAGCTAGGGTGAGCTGACCAAGCACTTCACAACCAGGAGCTGCTTGGTGTCTCACCTGACACCAGTTCTCTGCCCCCGCAGCTTGCTTGAGCAACGGCTTTGTATTTGCTCTGTCCACATTGCAAAATGCCACCACCATTAAATCTGTGCCCTGAGAACGATTCTTCTCTTGGCGCTGTGTCAGCGCTGGCACTGAAAGCATCGATCCTTGCTGTCTTCTCAAAACCACTGTGGCATTTGAATGCTCCTGAGGTTCCTTTCTCTTGGTGGCACTGCAGCTGAAAATGAGCAATTCCTCAAAATTGATGGCAGAGTCCTAAGCTTCGGCTAGCGACCAGTGCTGACCTGAACTCTACAGTGAAGCGCTTTTGAAAGCTGTATTAAATTCTGCTTTGCGCAGGGCACCTTGGTAGACACACTGCGGGAAGTGAGACCAACTGCCTTTTTGGGAGTTCCTCGTGTCTGGGAAAAAATGGAAGAAAAAATGAAATCCATAGGTGCAAAATCGTCAGCACTCAGAAGAAAAGTGGCATCATGGGCCAAGGGAGTTGGGTTGCAGACAAATCTGAAGCGGATGAATGGGTAAATATGAACTACACTCAAGGGATATAATGAATATTAGGAGAACTCTATTATTGGATCAGGAATTATATCCCATGCAACAGGCCAGACTTGGGAACAGTAAAAGCCAAATGTAGTGCTTGGACCAGAGGGTGAGCAGCAAGGGCTGGAGGGGGAAATAATTTTTTACTGAATAAACTAAAATAGGAGGAAGATGAAAGGAGGAAGGGAGAGAAGTTCTCCTTCGTGACTGAGATCTTGTAACCATTTTTCTCCTACAGATATTCTGAAGTCCCCGTGAACTTCCGCTTAGCCAGGCACTTGGTGTACAAGAAAGTGCGAAAAGCCATTGGGCTGGACCGATGCACAAAGTGCTACACGGGGGCTGCTCCCATTACCAGAGAGACGCTGGAATTTTTTTTAAGTCTGAATATTCCTGTGTTTGAGCTGTACGGCATGAGCGAGAGCTCTGGGCCTCACACGATCTCTCTACCTCACGCGTTCAAGCTCACCAGGTAAACGTCCTTCTGTGAGCAGAGCACTGCTGGCTGGAAGGAAGAGCTGCTTTAAGGTTTCTCCTGCATCTGGCACGTCCATCTTGCCTGATGCAGCTCATCCCCAGAGTCTTGCTGCCAGTGAAAAGTCGCTAGGGAGCCAGTTCCTTTGGCCACGTCTTGCAGATGAAGAGATCTGCCAAGGGCAACAGCAGTGTTACTTAAATTTAATTTGACCTGGATTCTCTAGGCACTGTGGAGGAAGCAAAGGGATTGATGGGAAGAAGGAAGAATTAGTAACTCTAGCCTACAGTTCCCTTTAATGTCAAATGAATAAATGCAGGAAGACTGTGCTGTTGCTTGGAATGGCTTGTTCAGTCCCCGTGGGTTCAGTCTGCAGAGTAAATACCACCATCAGTAAAAGTTTGCTGCCAAGGACATAAATCTTCTAATTCAAAGCTCAGGTGTTTGAGAACAATGAGTGGAAAACACCAGGTGTGTGAGCACTGATCTCTCTGCAATAACAACTTTTTTGGTAGTTCCCCTTACATAAGCAGATGCCTTTTAAGTTTATAAGTTCCTTGCTGAAGCAGTCGTCGTAAAAAGCTGGCTTTGTTCAAACACTTTAGCTTGAGACGGTACTGCTATAATTTCACTCTGCTGCTCAGCTATTGAATTTAAAAAAAAAAAATGCCATGGGTTTGTGTTTGTGTTCTTTTTAAGCTGTGGAAAGGAAGTCACAGGCTGCCAGACGCTGATTCATAAGCCAGATAGAGATGGCAACGGGGAGATCTGCTTCTCGGGAAGGCACATCTTCATGGGCTATTTGAACATGGAAGAAAAAACCAAAGAGGCAATTGATGAAGATGGCTGGCTGCACTCGGGTGACCTTGGCAAGCACGATAAAGATGGATTCCTCTACATCACCGGCAGAATTAAAGGTAACGCGTCCCCTCGCTTTGTCTTGAGGTTACGCAGTATTATGATACAACGTGTTCGGACTCTGCTAGTTATGTGGTTGTGGCTTGCACAGAACAGTATTTAAATACCTCTCCTTCTGAAGTTTTTGATATTCATATGGCTGCAGCGTGTCCTGCCACTGAGCACATGGCAGGGTGTGTGGTGAGGGGTGACCTCTGAAACCACCGTGTGTTTGCAGAGCAAGGAAGAAATCCTCTGATCTCAGAAGCAGTAGTTAATGCTTTGTTGGCTTGTTTTATGGTGCTGGACCTGTCCAGGTCCCTCCAGTTTCAGCCAGCTTTGCTAGGTAACCTCTGAGAGAAAACAATAGCTTAACACTGTGTGAAAACGGCTTGCAGCAATGCCGTTCTTGGGACACCACTTTGACCAAGCCCAAACAAATCCAATTTTACGCAAGACTTCAATCATCAAAAAGAGATAAGTGGTCACGCAAAGGGGCTGCTTTAAGAAATCTATAAAAGACAGCCAAGAAAGGCAGGCTCTCCTCTGCTGTGTGTCACACTGCATAACTTCAAACAGCTCTGCAGCGTTTGCCTTTGAAGTATTTGCCTCAGCAAATTTTGTACTTAAGTTTCTGAACAACTTGGGTACAAACTTACATGCCTTAGTCCAAAGTGAGCGTGGCAGGGCACTGAGGTGCTCGTACGCCACACCCCATGTTCCCGAACTGCAAACACCTCTGGAGCATCAAAGCAGCTTTTGCAATGCCCTTTGCATGCACGCCTCAGTCTCGTCTCTCCTCGCCTGACTGGCGTCCTTCTGGTTTGCTGCCTTCTCCAGATGTTGGGACACAGACTGGCTATTGGATCCAGTAGGCACAAAGGAGCTCTAAAGTCATTTCAGATTGTGAAGGAAGGGGGGGAAAAAGCTCTAAGCAATTAATCAAGATTTGACTGTTTTCCAGAGCTCATCATCACTGCGGGAGGTGAGAACGTTCCTCCCGTTCCAATCGAGGATGCTGTGAAAGATGCTGTTCCCATCATCAGCAATGCAATGTTGGTTGGAGACAAAGCAAAATTCCTTGCTATGCTTCTAACGCTAAAGGTAATGGAAAACAGGATGGGAATTCACCTGTGTTGCTAAATGTTTAATTCCAGTGAGGAAGATAATTGTTACACACTTTCACGGTGTCTTTTAGAGACAGGAGGCTACTTCTTGTAGCTGAGTTGCAAACAGCAGTTGTAACTGTACAGAAGAACAAGCATTGCCACTTGATCAGACGATCGGGTGGTTCTGTTGTTCAGGGCAGCTGGTTCTCTCTGTACCACGTAGGGCAGAAAGCAACAGAAGTAAAAGACCTAAAAGTGAGACTGAAAAAAGAAACCCTTCTGCTTTCTTACCCACTTTTCACTATCTCCCAGAGCAGTCCGGACAGTAACAAGCTGCCAGTGATTTCTTTTTAAGGCACTGGCTTTAAACGCCACAGTGACGCATCTGTGGTGGCCCACACTGACTTCTGTCCAGAGACCCTGCAGGCTGCTGGTTTTCCAGGGCGGTGCTGATCGCTCATTAGCGAGACGACCGCCGACCTCCTCGCCCTTGTGCAAGCGATGCCGAGACGGGCCCTGGAGGTAGTGGTGCCGCACGGGTTGACTTCCAGCAGACTGTTATGCTGCTGTGGGATGCAGGGAAGTAAAGCTGTGGCCCAGAAAAAAAGGTCCAGAAAACAAAAGGGATCAACTTAGGGTAGCACAGGAGGAATTTGGAAGATGAGCTCCGTACCCAGCTTGCTCCTTGGTATGGACAGGCTGTGGAGTATGCAGAGAGCTGAAGGGGTTTGCTCTGCATTTTGCCTCAGTGAGTTCTTGTCTGAGGCAGTGGCTGGCATCAAGCAAAGTATAAAATCACAGTGGTTGATTAATTGGACAATTGGTACCGTGGTGGGGAAGGAGATGGGGCAGCTTCCCATGGCCGTAAGCTTATTAGCATGAAGGGACTCGGTGGTTAGCAGCATGGAGTTACCTGTTCTCACTTGTGTTGCAGTGCAAGGTAGATGTAGAAACTGGCGAGCCAGGAGATGATCTCACTCCAGAAGCTATTGAGTACTGTCAGAAACTGGGCAGCAAGGCGACAAAAGTCTCCGAAATCATCAGCAGCAAAGACAAGGCTATCTACGCGGCTATCCAGAAGGGAATTGCGGCAGTCAACGAGGGAGCTGTCTCCAATGCTCAGAAAGTCCAGAAGTGGGTCCTTCTGGAGAAGGACTTTTCTGTCTTTGGTGGGGAGCTTGGTGAGTGGTGGGTGGGGCGTTTGGGGTTACCCCCTCACCCCTTCCTTGGAGGCAGAGCAGACAACACAACCAGGACCCCCAATACACAGAGCTACCCACCACCTTTCGCTGTGGCTTTTCCATGTCAGTTTTGGGAAGGGTGGGATGAATTCCCACCTCTGCCCAGCAGAACTGAGCTGAGCAGTGCGGACCCTTGGTTCTGCGTTGTCTGTTGTGGGATGGTTGTGCTGCTTCTATTCACGGGGGAAGGAAGGGAGAGATTTTTTCATTAATCGCAAAGAGAAATTTAGAAGTCAACGTCTGTTCATGCGTTCTGAATCTTCCTCCCGGCTTGCTTCACTCTAATATTGATTTGTGTCTCAAAATGGTCACCATTAAAACCTTGTGCTGTATTTTTTTTTTCTTTCCACAGGCCCAACAATGAAGCTGAAGAGACCAGTGGTGGCACAGAAGTACAAAGACCAAATCGCTCAGTTTTACGCAGATGCGGATACACCGACTGCAACAGAGAACGCCCTTCGGCAGTAGCGTGGAGGCTTTGTGCTGTGGACTGAAGCAAGCCCGGAGGACGATCCCCCAGCTCCTTGGGAAGGATTCCCTGGGTTCAGTTGAAATAAATGCGGCTCGGTCATCAGGCAGCCCCTCTGAATCGCTTCACTGTACATTTTTTGGCCCTCGTACTGCAGTGTGTTGAGCGTGTTTGTGCCCAGTGTTTTCCTGTGTCTGTGTTCTAACGCAGAGATATTCCCAAATGTCTCTGCTTCGTATTTTTTGTCTTTCCATTTTTGTAAGGGCAATACGATGTTTACCTTAAATCTGTATTCTATATTATGTTTTAACCAAAGTTTTCTTTTCCTGAGCTTGAATGTAAAACAATCAGGAGCTGCACTTCTCCTGCTGAGGGAGAAAGGCAGATTTCTTTTTATAGCGGTGTATTTCACCCCCCCGATGCACGTTTAAACTGCATGCTGATGACATCCAAATTATTTTAAATCTGTTTTCTGTTAAAGATGATGAATGCTGTGTGACTACACACACTGGCTCAGTGTGTACGTGAAACCTCACGTTTGCTGGGTTTTTCTGTGCAATATTTTGAGTTTGTTTTATCTTCTTGAGTTATAATGAAGCCATAAGTTATTGTTAAAGCAGTATACATGGCCTGTGTTCTGAGAAGTGTTTTACGCAAGGCACTATTTATGAGGCTGTGTACAAATGTGTGTGAAATCTGTAGTCTTACAATCACAGAAGTGCTGGCTAGAGCTTCTGGAAACGGGGAACTCCAGAGCTGTAGGGTGGGCTGAGGCTTTGTACCTGCGCTGGCAGGGAGGAGACTGTGCTGGGAACCTGGTTGTTCAAAGGCTGGTTCTTTTGAAGGTCTGCAATCAACCATTCCAGCCACTGTAACGGCCATTTACATTGAATTCATCGACAATAGGACACAGGGCACAGCCTTCTCCCAACCTGTGCGAAAGCACCCAGTACCAGTAGCTCTTGAAGGTCTCTTCTAAATGCTTCTGCAAGGCTTATTCCAGTCTGCCCAGTGCCTGGAGGGACTGTTAATCCCAACAGCAAATGAAGGACTGCTTGTAAAATGGCTTATTTGAAACTAGAAATCATTATCTGAATATAAGCACAACAGCTCTACCCTCTGGTTCTGGGTAATTGTTTCCCGTGGCCAGAGGAGCACCAGGAGCTGTCGGGTGCTTCGAGGGGGAGCATCCCGCAGGCGAGAGGCATCTACGCTATCAAATAACAGCAGCAGCTCGAGCAAGCTGCTGGCTGCGGGTCACAGGGGCTCTGTGCCTACAGCACTACCTGGCATCGAAACCTTGCTGGGGCAAGGTGCCTGGAGCCAGGCACCTTAGGGAGGTTTTTACACCTAAAACCGATCTGGGCTCAGTGAAATTCCTCTTGCGCACATGCCTGCAGCACCTGTGTGGAAGGGGTGGGTAACGTGCTACTGTGACCACTGCTGCTCTCATGCAAATGTGTGTGTTCTCAGCTGTATGAACCTGAAATGTCTCCCATGTTCAGAGGAATGCCTAATAAAGAAACTCTGCAGTTTGTGTCTCTTAACACTTCGGTACTTTCTGCAAAATAGCGCTCAACTCGGCATTGAGGGCAGTGGCAGTGACAGCGTGGGGAGCAGCAAAAAGGTTCATTTGCCTTGTGGCAGCCAGAGCTGGCTCCTGGATCCTTATCAAGGTTGAAGCTGCTCCCCGCAGCAGCAGAGGGAGGAGACCAACGCGTACAAAACCCTGCCGCGGTCAGAAGGGGAATTAAACTCCAGGCCTTCGGTCAGAGCCTGCAGCTGCAGAACACCTGCGCCAGAGCTCTGCCTCGCTCCTCGCGGTTGGTGCTGAGTCCTGACCGGGTTCAGGAGCCGGGAAAAACCTCCGCAGGCCCCATGGAAGTTGAGAGGGAGCACTTGCACCCGCCTTAGGCAAAGCTCTGCTCTGGGCTGCTCGCTCCACCTTGCGCTCACCACTCCTTCCTGCTGCTGGCAAACTGCAGGGAACCCAGACACGAAGCTGCAGCAGCAACAGGATTGACGCGACCGACTGAAAGCTCCAATGTATTGACGGACACCGGGGTCACCCCCCAGACCGACTGCGCCTCAAACAAGTTTCCTTTCCCTTTGCTTTCCCTCTCCTGTGCCCCGGCGCGGTGCTGCCTGCAGGCAAGGGGCTGGCAGAGCTGAAGAGCAGCCGACTGCGTCACCGGCTTCTGTATTTCTAATGGAAAACATTTTCGCTAACAAGGCGCTTGGGGAAAGCCTCGTTGCTGTCCATGGAGAAGCAATACAACAAACAAAAAACGCTTGAAGTTTTACTTTTCCATCTTACTTTATTTCACTTTTTCTAGAAAATTCCTCCATAGTTCCACAAATTTAACAAAAAGTTTAAAATTCAGGACAAACAATCCTGTAACGTATTACAAACATGATTTTTTTTTTTTTTTAATCTTGAAGTTAGTCTTGGGCCAGCTGAATTTCTTACAGCTGAGTGAAGAATTCATTTCCCAACACAACTTTTAAAATCCTCAAGTGACAAGGTATTTAATACCTCGGCTCTAGGCAGAAATACAATTAAAAATTATCTAGACGTTGAAGTACTTACATTTTTTTTTTTCTTTAGGAGTGCAAACTCATCTTGTCAGTTTTTGATGGCTATTTCACGCCCCCAGGAAAGCAATACCGATCGATTTTCATCGTTTTAGAAGTAATACTCGTACAAGGTGCACAATGGTTGTCTACAGCATCGACACACGCATGCCAACTGGTGAGTGCCAGGCACCTGGGCTAGTAGAGAGAAGCTTCGTCCGAGTACACCGCCCGTGCTCCAGTGCATTCGCCAGCGTGACGGCTGAAATTTCCAGAACCAGAGTGACTCGGGTCTCTGCTTGCAGAGAACACGACAGGGCAAGCTCCATAAGGGAAGTTTAAACCTCTCTCACCATCAAATACGTTCAAGATCTGACAAAAACTGCTTCTGGATTGTTGCATCAATTGTTTTGCTAGTTCTGATGCTACCACCGCACACAGCAATAGAAGAACTGGTGGCAAAATCATTGCACTTCCATGTATTCAGCCTGACCACAGCACAGCCAGTCTCGTTACCTATGTGTCCAATATTCCTCAGCTGCTGTTTTGGGATCCAGCTAGCCTTGCTATCTTTTTTTTTTTTTTTTTTAATAGTTAATGTCAGTAATCAAAGCCTCAAGGCTTAATACATACGCAGACCAAGACAACAGGAAAATACTCCTGACCCCTCTTTTGCCCTTTAATACAAAGGCCAAGGACAAAGGAAAAGCTGTGTCCTGATCTTACCTCCAACACGATTCAACTCAAAGCAACTCTGAAAGCCTTCAGACTGATCAGCACTTGTTCATGCCTTCAGTAACAAGATGAAGGACACTGAAAAGTAACAGAATTCTGTCCATTTTCCTTGGAAAAACCATTATGGCTAGAAGTCAATTTTGGCTATTTTTTTTTTTTTTCTTTTTTTTTTTTAAACAATGCAAGCTACTACACATCCTCGAAGACCTGAGGCAATGCTGACAGCAGCACTGCCACCTCCTTCCTATAGTACAATAATCCATCCATGCTCTCAAGAGTGACACAAGAACGAACACTTTATCCACAAATACCTGTACACGGCATGTTCAGAACAGCATTCAGCCAGCCTATAGAGAATCTACACAGGGAACTCGTTCATATGTAACTAGAAGGGGACACAAGATGAGGCCCAAATTTGACCATTCTTTGTTTGCAGAGTCATTCCTCCTGTGGTCCCCGACGCTACCACATACCCCAAAAAACAACAACTCTGTAGAACAACTAAGTACTTGCAAGAAACCTTTTAGTAACAAATCAGCATGTGCACACAATGGAAAAGAACTATTGCTGGGGGAACAATCCTATTTCAGGTTTTCAAGGAGATTATAAACAGTCTAAAAAAAAAAAATCCATGTGTAAAATACTTCTTATAAAAACCAAACAAAATTCCTATCAATGCTCATTAGACTTCACGAATAAAGTCGGTTCCAGGACAGGACGATGCCACAGCCGCGGGCGGGAGCCCCGGGCACTTCCAGCCCAGTTCAGGAACACCCTCCCACACGTGTTCTTGGACTGGCTGGGAGCAGCGTGACGATTCAGATCTTAACACGAGAAGGGGGCAGAAGGGAGGTGGCACCTCCGATCCCTCATGGGGTAGCTCTGGAGGCTACTGATAGTCCCAGGAGAAATGCTGCCAGGATGGGCGACACGGATGCAATGGCTGTGGGAGTAAGTTAGTAAGTAAGCTCCTATCGCTTCGGGGACGGACAATGTCACCAACCCCACCCTTCACTGGGGGCAGCGGGCAGGAGGCACTGCGTGCCAGGGGCCGCCCCGCTCGCCCAAGGAGCCAAGTTTGGGGCCATAGCGACCACGCAAGGCTTGCCTCCTCCGTGCCACAGACCCAACAGAGACCATGAGTAGTTCGCACGTACCCACCACGCCTAACACAGCACACGAGCCAGTCCGTGTCACTCGTGGACCGCGTCCGCCGTCCTCCACTGCGGTGCATCCCACTGCCAACCAAGACAGAACTGCAGCTCCTTCTCTTCCCGCTGTCCTCCACCTTCTCGGTGTACATTTGCGCACAGGGTTTCTATCCAGGCTTGGCATTGTCCATCAAGAAAGAAAACAGCTGAGATCACTGTCGTGACAGGGTTTGCACCTGGCATGAGCTTGATTTTTTTTTTATATATATATATATACACACACACACACACACACGACACATGAAAGATGGTACAAAGACAAAATTAATGGGAATCGGGTCAACATGACCCAACTCAAACAAGCTTATCATCATATTGCCACTTAAGTTGATTAGTTGCAACATTTCCATGATAAAGAAAGGGGTAACCCAAAACAAGGGACTGCAATTTCATAATGGAGAAGGGACAGCAAACCCTGGCATGATGCAACCCCCCAGGTCCCACACAGGGCTTTCACAGATATGGGAGGTCCACTCATG